GAGCGATTGATCATTCAACTAGTAGACGTGCACGGTCTAACAAGATTACCTACCACCAAGGACATGGAACGAGATTCTTCTTCTCCCACCAATTTACTGAGCTTGGTACTCTTCCCGCGAATTTGCTGAGCTTGGTTCTTTTCCCGCCAATTTACTGTTTCATCAACCAACTTCTACCTAGCAACAAGAAGACCTGAACTGCAATCGTCCTCAGAAACGTTCAGCCACGTGTATTTTATGCACACGGAGCACGAGCTGCCAAAAGAGGGAAAGGCACCAACGGGCCTAGCTCACTCAGTTGACTACACGTGGCATAACCTTTCTGAGGACGTTAGCAGCTCAGTTGGGCAAGAAACGAAAGAACCGAAGACACCAACGGGCCTAGCTCAGTTGAATACACCCACGAACTGTGTGAGAATACAGACCCAAGCTCGAATCCAGGTGCAATTAGTTGAGCAGAACAAAATCATTTAAAAATAACGAAAGAAACGAAAGACACTTAAAACACCAAAGACCATGATTAAGGAGAGAAAACACGCGCGACGATCTTGGAAAAAGCACGGAGAGAGAAAAAACGGACTAACAGAAAAGAAAAGAGCACAAATCGACAAACGGCCCGAATGACAACATGAAGAAAACCAGCTAACAAAAAGAAAGAAAACTGAGAGAAACGGCGAGAAGAGAAATAAGGACAGAAAAGGAGAAGGAAGAGAGAGAGAGAGAGAGAGAGAAAGAGAGATTATGATGACCACATTAACAGCGCCGAGTTAAGCCACTACAAGTGGCTCGACAGCTGGGACGTGAGTGGCTCGGACTGACTGAACCAGCCACCCATACACGAGGAAAGGGCAACGCATGCACAGAAAAGAGAACGAGATTGAAGGAGAACAGGAAACGAAAAAGCCAGCCATACGGAGGAGGGGGATAAGCTGATGATGCGTACAAGGAGAGACAGGTGGAGACAAGTGAGACCCGCGGCCACATAGAGATACCCACCCAAGGAAAGACCCAAGTGGTAGACAGCGAAAAGGATGCGAAAGACCCAAGGTAACAATATGAGTGGTAGACAGCGAAAAGGATGGGAAAGAGTAACATACGGCGAAAGGTGGCGGAAGACTGAGAGGGGGAAGATTGAGAAAGGGAAAATCATGGCAGGGAGAGATTGGCAAAAGAAAAAGCGACGGGCTAAGACGGATCATCGACGGACACGGCGACAAATAGACGAGAGAAAGGAAACGAGAGAAACGGAGAACATAGGCAAAACGGAGCAGTGTGCAGGGAAGAAAAAGAAGACAAGTGTGGAGGGAAGAAAAGGAAGAGCGAAGAGCGCCAATCTCGAGCACAGACAGGAAAGAGCCAAGGGGAAAGAACGGCAAGAGCGAGCGTTGAGGGCCAAGAGGCGGACGGGGGGGAAGTGGCGGGAGCGAGTGCCGGAAAGGGAGCGCCGAGCGTAAGCGCGAGGGGCGAAGCGCAAAGTGCCGGAGAGGGAGCTTCAAGCGCGCGAGAGTTGCTCCTGCAGCGCCCCGCGCGCGCACTCATGGCGGAATACTGCGCGACTAAGCACCGAAGAGAGAGCGCAGAGCGGAACGCCATCAAAACGGCAAGCGACTGAGGGGGAGAGCCGACGACGAACTCCGACGACGAGCGCGCCAACGGGGGAAGCGACGGAAGAGAGCGACATAGCTGAGGAGGGAGGGAGTGCACCGAACGGGGAGAGAGCCGAAGGGGGAGGGCGCCCAAGGGGGAGCGCGCCCAAGGGGGAGAGCGCCCAAGGGGGAGAGCCAAACCCCACCGACAAGGGAGGAGGGGAAACAACAGCGCGGGATAAGAACACACAAGGCCGAGCTTGGAAGGAAAGCGCGGGACCATGGACATCGAGAACGAGAGACGGAGAGTCGAAAGCTGGAAGAGCGGAAGCACTAAACGAGACGACCAGAAGGAGCAAAGAGAACAAAAAGGGCACGAGAGAGTCCGAAAAGGACGAGGCAACAATGACAAGAGACAGCGCCAGAGGGGAGGAGCGCGAGGGGCGAAAAGCCAGGACACAGAAGGGGAGCGAGGAGAAAAGAAAGAGAAACGCAGAGACGAGGGAGAGGCAAGAGCAGGATGGTAAGGGAGAGAGAAGACAGCAAGGGGAAGAGAGAGGGAGAGACGCGGCAAGAGAGAAGGGGAAGAGAGGGAGAGACGAGGCAAGAGAGAAGGGGAAGAGAGAAGGGGAAGAGAGGGAGAGAGAGGCAAGAGAGAAGTGGACACCCGGTGTACAGAGGAGACAGGGTACGACGGAGACAACGCACAGCGGAGACGAAGGAGAGAGACGAGGAGGTACGGAGAAGACTGCCGTCAGGGGTAGACGGGGAAATAGAGCAGACGGGAACGGAGGAACCGGGACGCAGAAACGGGTAAGTATAGATGCGGACGAAAAAACGGGGGAGGAGACAGCGGCGTATAGCAAGGGGGAACACGCGCGGAGAGGGGCGGACAGGACACCGCAAGGCGGAGACGCGGGGAGAGAGCGCAGAGGCGGTGTAGGATGGATGGAAGGTGGTCATCCGTGACTACGGAGCTTGACATACCATGCCAAGAGTGACTAACTGCCAAGACAGTTGGACGGAAGAACCGGGACGTAGAGACGGTCACGTACAGACGAGACAAAAAGACGGGCGCGGAGCAAGGGGGGACAAGAGTGAGAGAGAAGGACGACAGAGAACGGAGAGAAAGGGAGGTGCACACACGGAGGCAGAGTGACGCGAAGAGAAAACAGTGATTAATGGACAAAGGGAAAGGCGAGGAGGCAGAGGCGGAGGGGAGTGAGTTAGGGGAGACAAAAGCGGGAGGGAGGGGGGGGGGGCGACTAGAGGAGGATCAGCGGTGACAAACAGACAAACAGACAAACGGGCAAAAGTCGGAAGGCAACGGAGGCGCAGAGATGGAGAGGCGAAGACACAAGGGAGGGGAGGCAAAGGCTAAGAGAACGAGAAGGAAAAGAACGGAAGAAAGGGAGGAAAGAGACAGACAGACGAAAAGAAAACGGAAAAGGATATGCGAAGACGACAGAGGGAGAAACAGAAAAGAGGACAGAGTATGCGAGACGATGCGAAGAGGAGAGATGATGAAGAGGGGGAGCTAATAGACCGCGAAAGAACAAGAAGAAAACAGGACGAAGTAGGCAATCAGTGCACAACCAGAAGGGCAAAACTGCAAATCGGCCTATAAGAGTTACAACGACGTCAAGGATTTTAGACGGAACAGAGGAACGAAAGAAACAGTCAAGAAGGGAGAGAAAGGGAGAAATGAAGTGAGAGAGAAAGCCAAAGATTGGGGGGGAGGGGACGACGGGGTGGGAGGAAGCGGAAGGGTGAAAAGACGACAGAGACACAGGATGGAGATAGAAGAGGAGCCTACGAGGAAAGGAGAAGGAGAGGTAACGAGGAGAGCGAACGGAATAGAGAGACAAGAGAGTATACGAGGAGCCGAAGAAAGGACCCTTGTGGACACAGAGGAAGAATAAGCACACGTGGAGAGAGTGAAAGAATGACCAGGTGCAACCTTCTCAGTGTCACGACGGTGGTCATCGTTTTACCAAGCCCATTATCTCCTTGGGATTCTCCCTCTCCCTCTCCTGTGCGCGATTCACGCTCCCATTCACCTCCAGACAATCGAACTGGCAATAGGAAGAAAGACGGGTCTATGGGTCTCTGCATCTCTCTCCTCTGCACAGACGCTACCCTCCCCTCCCCTCCCTCTTCCCCGTCTGCCTGAACCACCCCCCCGCCCCCCCAAGGGGGGCCCTCACCATCCGCCTTCCTCCTACGCGGAGTTGTTTCTTATTTCCCTCAGAACTTTTGGACACAACAAGTCCCAACGGGTAAGGAGAGAACACCTCGCCAGCGTCTCTGACACCAGCGATATTTATCGCGACGTCTACCATTATAATTATTAAGGACTCGTCAATTATTATCACTATTACGAATATTACCGACAAGAACTAAGGACTCCCTCACTCACTCATTCACTCATAATCGGGTAGGATTTCGAGTCAGACTACCAGCTCCTCTATTGTAGAATGATAAACGGGTTCCGTCAGAAGACGCAAGACAAGAATTTCTCAACATCGATTCGTTCGGAAAATGCAAACACGAAATTCGTTAGGGCAGTTTTGATGCGGAGCAGACGCACACATACGGGCATTCAGCACAGACAGAATCAAGGTGATCTCCATCTCAACCACCCAAATTGCACAATTGCGAAGCAGAGTTATATTCTCCGCTGCAGATAACTTATCCTCTCTCTCTCTCTCTCTCTCTCCTCCCCCCCCCCCAAAACACACGGAAAATGACTCCTCAGTGACCACTTCTCGTGATGCGTCTGTGAGACACTCGCACACCCGTAGGAAATTGGCACTCGTACACGGATTCCAAGGAATCTCTCTCTCTCTCTCTCTCTCTCTCTCTCTCTCTCTCTCTCTCTCTCTTTTACACGCACATGCGCGAAGAAAACGCACTCCACGGCACTCCACAAGGACGACGAGATATAAGACTAGTCACTCCGACAGCTCTTGAAGACGGTGGAGCTGGGTCGAGCAAGAAACGTCCAGACTACAAATGAAATGGTTTTATACAAAAAGAATACAAATCGCAAAGGTGTGTGAGAAGTGTGTGAGCGGGAGAGGGGGGGGGTGAAGGGGGGGGGGGGGGGGGGGGGGGGGGGGGTGTTGAAAAGGAGAGGGGAAGGCTGTTTCTCTTCGGAAAGGGGAAGGGGGGGGAAGAATGGGAACCACAACCACGACAACGCATACAGCGAGAAGAGTGATAGTATTTATTACAAATGGAGCGCCATCCAGATGAGAAGACGAAAGAGGGGAACAGGGGACAGGAAAGGTAAGGAATAGAGAAGGGGAAACAGAGAGGGGAGCAGGACGCATGAAAGAGGAAGGAAGGACAAGAGCAGAGGGAGGGTAAAGAGGGAGAGAGGAAGTAGTTACAAGACAAGATGGGACTTACTGTGCCGGGCTCGTCATCTGAAAATGCTTCGAGACATATACTGCAGGCATCTTCACAGGGATCCTGAACCCCAGCCTCTACAAACGCGGCCGCCGAAGTAAGATGCGCACTTCCTGACCTCGATGTCTCGGTATCTTCACCCTTTCCGCTCTTCTCCGCCTTCTCCCCTGTCTCTGCCATATCCGCCTTCTCCATTGATTGCTCCTTTGCCCACTTTTCTCCAGCCCTTCCCCTTCCCCCGTTCCCCTTTCCTCCTTCCCTTTCCGCCTTTCCTTGCCCCTTTCGCCCGTTAACAGGTCCCGCCGCGGGATCCCCCAACAACACCTGTGGTCGGCTACTCCTCGAAATTTCCCGAACAGATGAACTATCGCGTCCCCCGATTCGGTATCTCTCTCTCTCTCTCTCTCTCTCTCTCTCTCTCTCTCTCTCTCTCTCTCTCACACACACAGACAGAGAGGCGCGCGCCCGCGCAGACAAACATACACGCACGGAAGGGCACAGACACAGGACACACACGACACAACACACACAACACAAACGAAGACAAGATCGCACGCACAGCGAAAAAACCAAAAAAAAAGGAAACCCGAGTCAATTGGACAACGAATTCCTCTTTCTCCTACTCGGCGATGAAAGGACTCCGCTTTGAGTGCGAGTAGTTCGATTTGAGATATTCCGATGGCACGCTGGTCCCAGTTGCCAGCAAATTATAGGAAGCACTGTAGTAGTCTATGGGACGCTGTCACGGTCGCCATCACCGCCTCGCCCTACAAATAGATTGCAGCAATTGTAAACCAGCTGGCCTTCAATCGTGGAGATACGTAACCCGCCCGCGAATGGAATTGATAACAGTAAATCTGTATAATGTTTTTCCTTATTTGATTTTTTGCTTTTCTCAGTCTAGGGTTACTGATTCTAGGACTTTTGGGGCTGAACGTGGCCGTAATTGCGGTTAGATGCGACCGGAGTCCTGCTATGGGTGGGGGCGGGGGGGAGGAAGAAAAAGTCGTCGCCGCCGAAGTTCACATACAGGTCGCTCAAGTTTGGAACTGCCAGTCCTCGCCCATTCAGAAGGCGCACCTGGACGTCCAGGTCGCCAAGTGCATGATCTGCAAGTGCATGATCTGCAAGTGCATTCCGGGCAAGGGAGATTGTCTAAACGGGCTATTTCTGTCCTTCAACCAAAAGAAAGACAAAAAAGAAACTCTCACCTCCTCACCGCTGACCTTCACGTTCCTCCCCTTCAGTCCAACTCTAAGGGCATACTCACACTAGGACTTTCTCGGATGCATATAGCCGCTTTTCCGACCCCACCCGGATGCACCGGACTGCAATTACGACCACAGAGAAGTGGAGAAAGTCCTAGTGTGAGTATGCCTTAACCACACTGAAAGAGGCTTGACAAATCCTAATCTGAACCTGTACCACCTTCATCGTGTATGTTCACCCCCTCCGATACACTTACAATAGAAGCACGTGACTGTAATCGCCTGCTCTCTCCGCTACCTGCTTGCAACCTGTCTTGTCTTCTAAACCACGCCGTCATGCCATTGTTTTAGCTAGTATTATCTCAAATATATACAACATTTACGCAGCGACATCGGGGGCGTTGTAATCCTATCTCCCTTCTTTTTTTTTTTTTTTTTTTTTTTTTTTTTTAAAGCTATATTCTTCTCTCAGTTTCACCTCACACTACCTACCTGCCACTACTCCTAATTGTAGGCATACGGGGAACCCCGTAGCCCTTCTTATATATTCTTATATACAAGGGAGATCACCCCTTCAGAAAAAAAAAAAAAAAAAAAAAAAAAAAACACGCCGCCAGGTTGTCCCAGCGGCCACCAGGTTGTCCCAGCGGCCCCATGTAGCCCCTGACCCTGCTATGGTTTCGTAGTTCAGGAGCAGGAGAAAGTGTGAGCATCACGAGAAGAACCACATGAAATGAGCATTCTGGGCCGTGGTTCCATTAGCAAAGAGCATCGGATTGAATGCCCAAATCTGGACGCGTTTGGGGACAGGAGCAGCAAATCGAGATAGAACTGCTTTTCTCTATCTCTCCATAAAACATAGCCAGATTCCGGATTTCTACCGTATCCTCTTCGCTAGTGGGACCACGGCCCCGCTTGGAGCAGAGAAGTGGCCCAATAGTGTCATGGGGCAACTGCAATAACAGTTTGCGGCTGCCAACCACTACCAGTACTTCGCCCGTACATTGGCCGCAGCAAAAAAAAATGTCGGGACTGCTAGCAGGCCCGTTCAGCCCAGCGTGTCATGGCTTGTATGCGGTCGCAAGAAATTCAATTTCATTCCAAGAAGCAGACAAATGAACCGAGGGGGGGGGGGGGGGGGGGGGGGGGGGGGGGTCACAATTCAACCCGGAGTTACCCTGGCATCCTTAGCCAGTTTTGCTTACGAGTCTCAAGTCCAAATCCTATAGCCACTAATTCTTACAATGACTACTGCCAAACCCTAATATTGGTTCCCCACCCTGCTCTATACGTAGCCGACACTCCCCTAACTACTCCTAATCTAGCCTTCTCCACCGATGCACATACCTACACTCCCCTAACTACTCCTAATCTAGCCTTCTCCACCGATGCACATACCTACTGAGACGGTGTCTTGTTCATTATGGTGTAACCTGACACTCTCCTATCCACCCAAACCCTTTGCAGTCAATAGTGACCGCCGACTGGAACCGAGTGTGGCTGGTTCGTACAAGCTTCTACCCCCTACCTAACATAACCTACTGTCTTCTCCTTACCCATCCTCCAGGATACCCAGCTATGGGGCCAGAACCATCCCCTAACCTTGTCTTATACTTGCAAAGTCTAAGCCCACTCCCCAAGTTTTCTTGAACCAGTCTTTTTTTTTTTTTTTTTTTTTTTTT